TCTGACCAAAATAATTAAACATTAATAACAATATGGCAAGTAGGAAATTCCAAAGTACTTGAAAATAAAAAAACCACACTTCTAAATAACCAATCAATTAAAGAAGAAATCACAAGATATATTAGAAAATCTTTCAAACGAAATGATAAAAACACAACATAGCAAAATTGGTTGTATTTGTCATATAAAGCAGTGCTTAGAAAGCTATGGCTTTAAATACTAATGTAGAAAATGATCCAGCAATCACACTATTGGCTGTCTACCCAGAAGAAAAAAAGTCATCATACAAAAAAGATACTTGCACACACGCTTGTAACAGCACAATTCATTATCGCAAAAATATGGATCCAGCCCAAATGCACATCAATCAGCAATTGGATAAAAAATGTGGTGTGTGTGTATATATGTATATATACACACATATATATATGTATATATATGTGTATATACATATACATATATATGTGTGTATATATATGTGTATATCTATGTGTGTGTGTATATATATGTGTATATCTATGTGTGTGTGTATATATACATAAATATGTATATATGTGTGTGTATATATATGTGGGGTGTGTGTGTATATATATACATATATGTGTGTATATATATGTGGTGTGTGTGTATATATATACACATATATATATACATATATATACACACACCCCCCACATATATACACACACACATATATACATATATATGTATACACACACACACACACACACATATATATATACACACACACATATATACATATATATGTATATACACACACACACACACACACACACACACATATATATATATACACACACACACATATATATATAGGCTATAAAGTAACTAGTTCAGCCACTGTGGAAAATTGTATGGCGATTTCTCAAAAAACTAGAAATAGAACTATCAAACTGAAAATAGAACTATCATACAATCCAGTAATCCCACTAGTGGGTATTTATACAAAGGAAATCAGGTATTAAAGGGATACCTGCATTCCCATATCTACTACAGCACTATTCACAATAGCAAAGATAAGAAATCAACCTAAGTGTCCATCAATGGACAAACGGATAAAGAAAGGTACATACACACAATGAATACAATTAGGCCAAACAAAAGAATGAAATAATGTCATTTGCAGCAGCATGGATGAAACTGGAAGTCATTACACTAAATGAAATAAGCCAGGCAAAGAAAGACAAATACCACCTGCTCCTACTCATATGTGGGAGCTAAAAAACTTCTGTCTCATGGAGATAGAAAATAGAGTGACAGATACCAGAAGCTGGGGGGTGTGTGAGAGTGGGAGGGAGAGATGAAGAGAGGTTGGTGAATGAGTACAAACAGAGTTAGAAGAAATAAGTTTTAATGATCAATAGCAGACGAGGGTGACTATAGCTAGCAAGAACATATTGTATATTTCACAGTAGTTAGAAGTGAGGACTTGAAATGATACCACACATAGAAAGGATAATACTCAAGGTGATGGATACCTCAAATACCCTGACTTGATCATTCCACATTCTATGCATGTAAAAAATACTCACACATACCCCATAAATATGTAAAATATTACGTATCAATAAAAGAAACGTGAGCTGAGAAATGCAGCTCCAGAGGCTAGAAAAGATAAGAAAATGCATTTCCTTCTAGAGCCTCCAGAGGCAGCCTGATCCTGCTGACACCTTGATTTTGGACCAGGGAAACGGATTTTGGACTTCTGGCTTCCAGAACTATAAGGGAATAAATGTGTGTTGCTTTAAGATGCCACATTCATGGTACCTTACAGCAGCCACAGGAAACTGATACAAAAGGTTCACACAAGCTGATTTCAAGTCTTACTCTAAAGCTACAATAATTGTAGAGTTTGGCACTGGTGTATGGATAGGTACATAGATTAGTGGAACAAAATAGAGTCCTGAAATATACCCACCCAACTGATTTTTGATAAGGAAATCAAGGGAATTCAATGGGGAAAGGAAAATCTTTTCAACAAATGGTTCTGGAACAACCAGATAAATATATGGGAAAAAAATGGAGCTTGACCCCCTACTTTACCCCATATACAAAAATTAGTTTTACATAGATTATAGGCCTGGAAGTAAAAGCTAAACTACAAATCTTCTAGAAGAAAAATATACAAAGATCGTCAAGATCGTGGTATAATCAAAGATCTCTTAAAGATGACACAAAAAGCAGTAATCACAAAATAAAAAATTTAGACTTCATTAATATAAAAAAAAAAGCAAGTCACAGACTGGGAGAAAATGTTTGCAAGTCATATATTGGAGAAAGAACTTGAATCCAGAAGATATAAAGAAGTACATATCAGTACCAAGAAGGAAAACATTGTAATCATAAAATAGACATAAAACTTGAATAGACACTTTACAAAAGAGGATAGACCAAGGGCCCATTAAGCTCATGAAAGGTATTCGACCTCATTAGTCATGAAGAAAATGTACAGTAAAGCCACGGTCAAGGACATGTTCACATCCACTAGAATAGCTAAAGTCAGAAAGACCTACAGACAACAAATATGGGGGAGGAAATGGAATGTACAGTCTCTTGGAAGAACACACAATCTCCTGGGGGACAGCCTGGTGATTTCTTATAAAATTAAACTTATAGGCCGGGCGCGGTGGCTCAAGCCTGTAATCCCAGCACTTTGGGAGGCCGAGGCGGGTGGATCACAAGGTCAAGAGATCGAGACCATCCTGGTCAACATGGTGAAACCCCGTCTCTACTAAAACTACAAAAAATTAGCTGGGCATGGTGGCGCGTGCCTGTAATCCCAGCTACTCAGGAGGCTGAGGCAGGAGAATTGCCTGAACCCGGGAGGCGGAGGTTGCGGTGAGCCGAGATTGCGCCATTGCACTCCAGCCTGGGTAACAAGAGCGAAACTCCGTCTCAAAAAAAAAATAAAATAAAATAAAATTAAATTAAATTAAATTAAACTTATACTCTATGACCCAGCAATTCCACTCCTAGTTTTTACCCAAGAGAAAAGAAAACACATGTCTACAAAAAGACTTAAGACTATTTACAGCAGTGTTCCTCCTAATAGCCAGAGCTGGAAACCAGCCTAATGTCTATCAGTAGGTGAGTGGATAAACAAATTGCAGTAAAGCCATACAGTGGAATACTACCCAGCAACAAAAAGAGCCAACTTCTGATACACACAACCACACAGATGGATCTCAGATGCATGATGTTTAGTGGGAGAAGCCAATTAGAGACCACACCGTGTGACCCTGTGTAGTTGAGCAGTTCAAGAGCAGGGAACACCAGGTTCTGGTGCTAGAGAGTGCTGGTGGTGATATGGATGGGAAATGACCAGAAGGGAGTGTGCGAGGACTTCCGGGATGACAGGAACATTCTGTAACTTGATGCAGGTGCTGCTTGCACAGTTGTACGCATTTGTCAAAAGTCACTGTTTTGAACACTAGCGATCTGTGCATTTCACTGTAAGTAAACTTCACCTATGACAGAATATTACTCAGCTGTCAACAGGAATGAATTAACAGCATTTGCAGTGACCTGGATGAGATCGGAGACTGTTATTCTAAGTGAAGTAACTCGGGAATGGAAAACCGAACATCGTATGTTCTCACTGATTTGTGGGAGCTGAGCTATGAGGGTGCAAAGGAATAAGAATGACACAATGGACTTTGGGGACTTGGGGGAAAGATTCTGAAGGGGGTGAGGGATAAAAGACACAAATAGGGTGCAGTGTATCCTGTTTGGGTGATGGGTGCACCAAAATCTCATTGATCCCCACTAAAGAACTTACTCATGTAACCAAATACCACCTGTACCCCAATAACTTATGGAAAAATATTTAAAACTGTAAAAAAAAACAAAAAACAACCCAGAAGCAGATGTGGGTGGCACAAGGAGGAAAGGGCCAGTCAACAGAATTGTTTCACTGGGAGACAGCAGGGCTATGTCATGGCAGGTGGGGGTGACGACTGGATGTCAGGGGTACAGAGAGGAATTTTGAGCCTAGAGTGCCACGACCCGAGCACAGTTCCATGGGGGAGGTGATCGGTGTGACCAGACAGCAGAGGAGAGAAAGCAGGAGTCTCAGACATGCTGAGTTGGCCACCATGCCAGACTTCTAGGCGGGAGCAATTTGGAAGCCCAGGCCTGAGCCTCTGGAGGGTGGGCCCTGCTGAAAATCTGGGGATTGTTCCCTTGAGGCATGGAGGACCAAGGAAGCTGAATTGATGGCTTGAGGGAAGTGCAGGGGAGGGGCCTGCTGAGGACACTGGAGGCTGGAAGAGAGGGTGGCAGGGTCCCATCATGGAGAAGGCCCTCCAGAGGTGAGGGTCAGTACTTGGGGCAGGGTCAGCAGAGGACAGGAGGGGTACCTGGGGGCACCTAGCAGGCTGCCTGGCAACCAGCAAAAAGTGATGAGGGGTAGCAGGTGCTGGGGGGCAAGGAAAGGAGGAAGGAAAAGGAGGAGGGAGGCTCGTTTGTTTTGTTTGGGGTTTAGGACTGGGGAGACCTGGGTGTGTTACAGATCCGGGAGAAGTCCACAGAAAGGGGCAAGGATTAGCTATTATACAGAAAGCCTCCATTTGACCCTTGGACCATCCACTCTGGAGCAGCTGATCATGTTGCTCTCATGATTTAATCATGTTGGACTGCATTTTGAAGCTGGGCTGTGTAATTAGCATGCACGTTCTAGTTCACTCACTCTTAATGCCATCCTTACATATTTTCCTGCACTTTTCCAATAAGTGTATTTCTTTTAACTCCCTGAAGAGAAGCCCGTGGCACAGGAGAGAGTGGCCAGCTGTGCTCACCGTCCCGCTGACCCCGGCCAGGCAGGCAGATCATCAGGTGCTGGCCTGTCCCTGGGTTTGCGGGTGCAGCGGTGGCAGCACAGATCCCTGGAAATCTTGTTCAGGCCGCCAGTGGCTCCAGACCTCAACTCCCTTTTTGGGGAGCAGCCTGCACAGCCTGGCCTGGTAAATCTGTGTCCTCACCTGTCATTGGCGACGGGCAGGGCGATCTCAAACTTGGCCAGGAACTGGAAGTACTGCTCCTCTGTCTGCTGTGTGAAGCCAGTCCCCACCAGCAGCATCCTGAGGTCTTCCGCTCTGATCACCCCGTTCTTGGCCACTGACCGGGAGCCCTTAATGTTAAAGATCCTCTGCAGACATTCAGACAGCCAGATAGGGTCAAGGAAGTAGAGGTTCCTCAGGCCGTGGCTGGTGTCCGGGAAGTGTAGCAGAGTTCCGGTTTCTATGAGGAAGCTGATAGCTGCCCCAGGCAAGAAGAGGAAGCAGTAGTCAGACAAAGGGGCAAAAGGGACTCTGGGGTGGTCTTCTTGGAAAAAGGGCCAGGTCACAAATTCTTCCTAGGAAGAAACCAACATGCCCGACATGCTGGACCCTTCAGGCAGGTTGGCAGCCTGGTCACGGGTTCCCTGGTGGCCCATGGTAACTCTTGCCAAAGTCCTGGGCTGAGGGCCACTTGGGTAACCGCAGTTGATCCTCATTATTTGTGGATTTTGCCTTTGCAAATTTGCCTTCTTGCTAAAATTTATCTGTGACCCCAAAATCAATGTTATTACAGACATGTGCTGAGCAGTGAAAAATTTGCAGTGACCAATGTGCACATGCACAGCAGAGGCTGAACAGGGCAACAGTCTCAGCTCTCATGCTGAAAACAAGTGGCCGCTTAGTGGCCTATGTCAGTGCCATGATTTTTACATTTTCGTGGTTTTTGTTCATGTGTTTATTGTTTAAAGTGGAGCCAAGCGAAGTGCTGCAGCGATGTGTAGTTCCCTAAGTGTGAGAAGGCTGCGATGTGCCTTATGGAAAAAACCCGTGTGTTAGATAAGTAAGCTTTGTTCAGGAATGAGTGATAGTGCTGTCGACCGTGAATTCAATGCCAACAAATCAACAACATATATTAATTATGGTGTCTTTAAGCAGCAACACACATAAAACAAGGTTCTGTATGGATGGGCTGATGAGAATGCTGTGACCGGAAGCTCGCAGGAACCGAAACCAGCATCTCTCCTAGGAGCACTGGTTCAGTGTTTGCCATTTCAGTGATCATGGTGACTTCACAGAACATAGCTCCCGTGGATAATGAGAATCGAGAATCCACTGTTAACTGTTTGACCTCTGTCTCCCTGACTAGACCGTCAGCCCTGGAGGTCAGGGGCCAGTCCATTAGCTTGTATGTCTGCCCCTGTGGCCAACACAGTGCTGGTGTAGAGTAGCTGTTTGTATTCTCTCCCTTCAAGGAAAGAAGGGTGGGGGGGAAGGAGGAAGGGGAGGAGGATGGGAGGCAGAAATGTAGGCTGAGTGTTGGGATCTCACTCATTGCTGAGGGCCAAGCTACAGTTAGCAAGTGCAGACGGTTCCGTGTCTCATGGGCACCCTGCCACCCACCCCAGCCCCACCCACCCGACTGCAAGTCCTCGTAGTCCTTGATGTCGTTGTCGGGCGTCTGCTCCACCAGCTGCTCCAGCTGCCTGTCCGTCAGGTACTGCACATCGTCGTCCAGGCTGCGGCGCTGCTGCTCCGCCAGCACGGCCTCCTGCAGGCTCAGGTAGCTCCTGGGGATCTGCGGGACAGATAGGCAAGGCAGGGTCCCTCAGGTCCTAAGGCGTGCCCACCAGCTTGGGCAGATCCTGCCCGGTCCCTGCCACCTGAAGGGGTGGGACATTTTTACCCACTATCTTCCATCCTGACCCTCCCTCACCAGGAGCCACTGAGACTTGCAACACAGACATGACTTTCACAGGAGAGAGGGGACAGTGCAGATCCCCAGCAATGGGAAGCATGCCCTCTGGTTTAACATGGATGAGCAAGGTACCCACCAGCCTTCCTGCCAGTCGCTGGCAGCCGATAGTGCTGCCCACGTCCTTCATGCTGCACGTGACGTGGAAGATGAGCTGCCGCAGCCCTTCCTGACCTTCCAGGCTCTTGCAGGAAATCTCACTGTGTGCAAAAAAGACTCAAGTTTACTCACCATGCCCCACTCCGAGGAAGCGCGGCAGCTTCTCTGTGTTCCCAGGATGTTTGTCCTGAATGCTGGCAAGACTGGAGAGCTCATGAAAGACAACACAAGAAGTTGATTGAGGCCTTGTTTGGTACAAACCACTGTGCTGGTGCCCCACACTGTGTCACTTTAGTCCGTCTTCCCGGACTACACAAGGCACTTCGCAGCACAGAGAAGTGAGGTACAGAGGTACACTGAGACCCCAAGGGCACAGGCTGGGCAGGCATGGACTCACACAGGCTGGACTTGGGTTCTGATCCAGAGCTAGTACCCCTCTTATCACAGACCCCATGGGGCTTTCTCAAGGGCACAGCAGGAATTCTTGAAAGCCTCATCCTGTATTATTCCGAAGCAGGCCACTGTGTCCCCAGGCTGACCCGTGCACCAATACCCATGGCGCTCCACCCGGGGCGAGGGAATCTGAGAGCCACCACTGCAGCTGCTGCAATGTGCAGTATATTTCACTCCCATGAGAGCACCCGTAATTTGCTGAACCTTAGCTTCTTCATCTACAAAGTGACACAACAATCTCCATAACCCACAGGGATATCGTGAAAGTCCAGTGACAGGTGGTGAATCCAGGGTAGTTGGACTTACCTGCCTGGGCCCATCCTGATGCCTACCCAAAAGCCCCTCCTAACTCTTGGCCCTCTGTGACTCAAAGGCTGCCATCAGGACCACTGAGACCTGATGCAAGGCTGGGCCCTCCCTCCCAGCCTTGCATCAGATCCAAGTGGTGGAGAAGGACACACCATCCCCGGGGTCTGTCCTTGATCAGTGATCAACAAATGAGATGGACAGCCACTGGATGGGTGGTGGCCACATTCAGTCTCCTAGTTCCATGGGCACCATGCATTTTCAGCACTGGCCCTGGGGATGGGGAGGAGGCAGAAAGGAAGCACAGAGGGGGCATCTCCAGGCCTCACCCAGCCAGCCGTCCCGTGGATTTTCACCCTCTCCAAGGCTGGGTCAGCTCTGCAGGCTGCCACCCTTGGCCAGGGAAGGGGCTCAGCCCTACCCAGCCTCAGGAGCTCTCTGTACACAGATCCCAGGATAGATCAGCAACCGGCAGCCACAGGAAGTCAGGAGCAGCTAGAGGCTGGGCACTCACTGTAAGTGTTTGAAGGTGATGTCCGGGAAGCCTGTGGCCCTGGAGCCGGAGGGGGAGCGGCAGAGCGCCAGCACATAGGCACGCAGTGTTGCAATCCTTTCCACACGAAACTTGGCTTCAATTAAGTCCAGGTGTGTCCCGACCACCAGCACCACGGCATTTGGGGCCTTGGCCTGTAACAGAGAACGCCAAGGCTGAGTACCGTCTCTGTTCAGTGAACAACGGACAGGGCAGAGCTCACTGCAGGTGTGCTGACCCTGGATGCTGCGGGCCCTGCTCAGCCACTGATCTGCAACCTTGAGATGGTTTGATGTTTGTCCCCTCCAAATCCCATGTTGAAATGTGATCCACAGTGTTGGAGCAGAGGCCTGATGGGAGGCTGGGTCATGGGCGCAGATGCCTCATGAATGGCTTTGTGCCCTCCTGCAGTCATGAGCGAGTTCACCTGACTGTGAAAAGGAGCCTGGCTCCTCCTCCTCTTTCTCCTGCTCCCTCTCTCACCATGTGACATGCCAGCTCTCTTTCTCTTCTGCCATGACTAGAAGCTTCCTGAGGCCTCCCCAAAAGCCAAGCAGGCGCTGAAGCCATGCTTGTACAGTCTGCAGAACCATGAGCCAAATAAATAAACCTCTTTTCTTCATATATTACTCAGTCTCAGGCAATCTTTCATAGTAATGCAAAACAGACTGCTAAGGATTGTCAGCCCAGGCAGCGCCCCTGCTCTTCATTCTCTGTGAACCCCGAGGGACTGTTGCATTGAGGGGTGTCTATGCTGCTCTGTGACCTCCTCCACAAGGCGAGCTGAGTGGGACTTGTGGGGAGGGATTTCTGACCCTTCAGACATGACAGCAGCCATCTGAGGCAGGGAGACAAGGACACCTTTACCCTAGGAAGGGGACCCTGCTGCCCTTTTGGATCCAAGGGTGGGGGTTCCTAAATTTAAGGGACGCAGGGAAATCACAAGAGCACCACTTGCCCTCAGCAGAGGAAGGTTTCAAGTGCCTCACTGTGCAAAGCAAGCAGGCAAGCAGGACCACGATTCTGGGCCCTCCGTGGAACAGAATCCCTTTTTTCTCAGTACAGGGGATGCTTGAGAGAAGCTCTGGGAACCGAAACGGCATGGCTGGCGCCAGGTGTCCTCACCTCGATGTTGAGCAGCCAGAACTGGAGGCTAGCCACGGCCTCCTCCCCCAGCGCCAGGTTCCAGACCACCACGTACAGGGCCTTGTCCGTGAAGAAGCACTGGTTGACAGTGGCCATGCTGGCCTGTCCCCCGATGTCCCAGACGTTGAACTCCACAGACTCAACCTACTTGAGCAACAAGGCAGTGACAGGGAGGCATTTTAGAGATAAAGCCTTCAGTAAATCAAACAGACACCACTGATAACTTTGGAGGCTGTACTTGAGGGGCTGAAAGAACCGTGGGAAAATTCTGGACACCCTGTTGTTTCTCTTAGGAAGCAGGATCCGGGCGAGGGACAGGGGTCCCGTGGCATGGGGGTGGGCTTCTGGGGCTTCTGTCTACTCCTAGCAGAGCAGGGACCAGGCCCGGGACAGATATCAGAGGGCACAGGCCTCCGTCTGGGCGGTAGGTGACACCCTGTGGGAGGAAGCTGCACTCTGATGTCAAGGCTTGCGCTGGGGTTCAGCCGCCCTCTGTGCCAGAGAAAGAGGAGGAGATGGGGTCAGAGGGCAGCACCCACCAAGGATGCTGGGAAACTCCCTTCCACTGTGTGGGAATGAAACAAAAGAGCTGTCAGGGTGCCGGGAACGGCTGTGTAAACGGTGGTTTCTCTATCATTGCATGAGGTAAGAGTCTGGTCCTGGAAGCTAGGGCTGCAGTTTTCCACAGAACGGAGTCATCTCTGTGAGGCAGTGTCGGCCTCCAAGACACAGCATGCTGACCTGGTTTTGTATAAAGATGAAAACAGCTGTTCTCAACTGGCTAAGGCCAGCCACGCAGAGAGCTGCGGACTCGGCCTGCACAGGACTGTCCTTCCACTAAAGGGTGGGGCTTTAGTCAACGCAGAAAGGAAGTGGGGGCTGAAGGCCAGGAAAAATAGAAGCACGAATTCACCCTTCAGGCCTCAGCTAGAGGAAGCTAAGGGAAGAAATGAGATTGCATCATTGTTAAGAAAAAAGCAGAGCAGGAGACAATGCAGAGGATTCTGGGTCCTGGAGAGAACCTTTAGACTCAGCTGGATTTGCTCCTGGAATGTTCTAGAATGGGCCTGGCATTGATCGTTGTGTTTGACTGTTCTAGCCCCAGTAGGCAGTGCTTCATCCTTTAGAGGACCAGCTTTCGAGCCTGCGCTAGAATAGATGCACAGCTTTAATGCCTAATTTCTCAAACAAGGCTTGGAAAGCGGCTGTGTGTGAAAGGTGCTACAATGTCTGGCTGGCACTGTGTGTGGGACTTTGGGGAAAATCAGGGAACATCTGGACCTCAAGGCTCCTCACTTTTCCATAATGAAGCAGTCTCCTTGCCCCTTGGATCCCAAGGAACCACAGGGTGGCAGAAACGCAAATACAGCTGATGAGGAAGGCCTTATCTATGTGTGTTCGCTCCCCAAGCTCAGAGAAAGAGCTAACTGCCCTGCTCTATTCCAGGGATAGAGATCCCACCTATAGTTCATGGGCTCCATTCTGTGTTTCATGAACAGGAAAATGTTCATTTCCATTTCATTTCAGCCTGGCACTGAATGGAAAGCAGGATGACTACTAGGTTCAGTGATGATTTTTTTTTTTTTTTTTTTTTTTTTTGAGACGGAGTCTTGCTCTGACACCAGGCTGGAGTGCAGTGGCGCGATCTTGGCAACCGGCACCTCCTGGGTTCAAACAGTCATGTATTTATTTTAAGTAGGGCTTAGAAACACGACTTTTCAGAACCTGGGGTGAAAGCAGGTATCAGGGAGGACAGGGCATTAAGTCCCGGAGTGCTTTTGGCTTCCTCATTAGGAGGCAGATGCTGACATGTTTCACTGCCTGCAACAGTGGTTACTCTCAGCCCTGGGGGTGCCTTACCCCGGACCACTTGAACTTGAATGCCTGGGGTCAAAGAGCAGTGAGGTGAGGCCTGGGCAGTGCTATCTTTAAAAGCTCCTCAAGGAAATCTAACAGACAGCCAGGGTTAAGAACCACTGGCCCAGAGCTTTGAGTTAACGATCACAAAAACATACAGGGCGGGAGGATCGTTTAAGCTGCGGAGGTTGAGGATACACCCAGTCTGAGTGACACAGTGAGACACTGTCTCAAAGAAAAGAAAAGAAAACTACAAGGTCACATCAAGAGATGATTCGCTGCTCTTGGCAGAAGCCGGTATAGAACAGTACACAGTGGCTCCTGCAAAGGTCCTGGGCTTTGCATACCAGGCTGAGAAAATCTGGGCTCTCTGGGGAGAAGAGAGAGGAGTCCAAGGGATGTCCCTCCCGCCCACATTGACTCTGTGCACAGGGACTCTTGACCTTGGCTCTCGAGCCAGCTGGCCTCTGGAGCTCCCACTTGGTGGTCCTGATGGTGGCCTCGCCGTGCACCACCTGGGGGGCCCTCCCCGTCTGTAAGATCTCCAGGAGGGTGGACTTGCCCTGGCGCGGGGGACCCACGATGATCATCTTCATTAGCTTGCACCTCTCTGCTTTCCGCAACTGAGCTCGTAAGTAAGACAGCATTGCTTTGGGGCCTGTGCAAAATCATTAAGGGGAAGGGCAGGTACATTGGAACATGCTCACATCTCTTACAACACAAAATCCTGTAGTGAAGGAACTCTTTGTGTTCTGATGGGGACAGTTAAGGAACATTGGAGCAGGTGGAGGGAAGGCGTGACACTAATCACCCCAAAAGTGAAGTCTCAAAGGCAAGAACCTATAGACAAAGTCCTTGCTGCCTAGGAGGTCACAGTTTTATCACCTGGCCATTTTCAATATAGTGACCCTCAGTAATGACTGCTTTAGGGACAACTTTACAGCATGTTGCCAAACCTGGAACCTGGAGCTGTGCTCCATGGGTCACCAACTGTTTCTACCCCCAGAACTTAACTAGTGGACTTGAGTTGTCTTTCCAAGGTGATGGCAGGGAACAGAGCTGTGGATGCCCTACCTTCTTTTCGGATTTCTGCAGGGACATTGCTGATGGTCAGGTCTTCAGTGTCCAGCTGCCAGAGGTTGCCCAGCTGCCCCAGCTCAGGAGGGAGCTCCCGGAGGCCAGGGTTGCTGCAGACACATGCCCATCATGAGAGAATACAGATGTGTCCCGACCATGCACGTACACACACACACACACACACACACACACACACACACACACACGACTCCTGTCAGCCTCTGCACCCTGCAGAGGCCACTGACAGCCTGCACCCCAGAACCCACACCTCGGGACCTGATTTCAACACTAATTCCAAAGCCTTGCTCCCTGAAGGGTCAGTGGTAGAAAGGGCAGCTCTGTCTTCTGCAAATCCCCATGGCTGAGAATCGAGTCCCCTCCTCCAACTTTCCTGTCTCTGCTACTAAGTACATCACCATGAAGATGATCACTACCTCTTCTTGAAGACGCAATGTCACTTGAATATTGATATAACATTTTACATTTTCATCAAGGTTTGCACACGGCCTAGAGCCCCTGGCAGCATCTGGCATGCAGTGAAAGCTGGGTAATGAAAGGATGGCTGGCTGAGCGTTCTCATCACAGCCCGAGTCATGCAGCAAAAGTGCGTCTCATCCCACCAACACCCCCTCCTCCTCTCTCCCTCCTTGATCAAGCCCTGTTCTGAAAATCCCACTACTGCTTCTTGAAGAGTCAATGGCTTCTTTCTGCCTGGCTTTCTGTGTCCCAGGTGGTTTAGGGATGGACGTTCTGCCTCGCTGGGTCAGCAGCCAGCATGGCCCCTCCAGATAAGTACTTACTTTCCCAAGTAGAGCTCTGATAAGCTCTTCAGCAGGCAAACCGAGGGAGGGACTGTGTCAAGGTGGTTGTCGTTCAGGCAAAGGACTTCCAAAGAGTCACTTAGGAAGGCCGGAAATTCCAGCACACATGCTGCAAAGACACGGCAAAGCAGACTACATTTAAAAAGAATCCTGGACCATCACAGCGTGGTGGCCAGGTGGGCATATAAACTCATGCAACCTCCAGAGGGCATTTTGGCAAACCTAGCAGAACCAAATGCTCACCTCATTGACCTAGCAATTCTGATTCTACAGACATCCTTGCATGCATGTGTGGCAAAGATGTGAGAAGGAGGGCACTCAGTGGCAGAGATAGAGGACAACCTATGACAACCTATGTGTCCAACCACAGGGGGTTGGTTCAATGAGCAATAGAATAATTGCAACTATTACAAAGCACGGGGCAGGTCTACACACACGGGGGATGAAGTGATACTCAAGAGCTGCCCATCAATTGAAAAGGCAAAGTGTGGCCAGGCTGGTGGCTCACACCTGTAATCCCAACACGCTGGGAGGCCGAGGCGGGTGGATCACGAAGTCAGGAGTTCAAGACCAGCCTGGCCAAGATGGTGAAACCCTGTCTCCGCTGAAGATACAAAAAGTAGCCGGTGTGGTAGCGGGCACCTATAATCCCAGCTACTCGTGAGGCTGAGTCAGGAAAATTGCTTGAATCTGGGAGGTGGAGGCTGTAGTGAGTCAAGATTGCACCACTGCACTCCAGCCTGAATGATAGAGCAAGACTCTGTCTCAAAAAAAAAAAGTTCAGAACCAGATATCTAGAAGACTTAGTGTGCCAGAAAATGTCTGCACAGTCATGCACACACACGCACACTGTGTATGTTATATGCACATGCCACACCTGCACATGTGTATGCATATAGGTTACATACAGTTGTTAGACATGAACACAATGGTTACCAGAGATGTCTCTGGGGAAGGGAATTACTAGAAGACTGAATATTTATCCCGTGTCCTTTGTTAGTGTTTAAAACTGTGTTTTAAAATATACATGCAACGCTTTTTCCATGAAAAAGGCTTGTTAATGAAAATATACTAAGGTTGGCTGTTTTCATGCTTCATGTGTTGACATTCTTTGAAAAACCAGCCAACTGTTTGGTATTTAAGTGACTTTATTAATTAGGCTTACTATACGATTTCCATGAAAATCATGTCAAATGGGCTGTTTCCCCAGGCACCAGAGCATTTGAGTTGAGAAAGAGTTGGAAACGCACACTGATGGGAATCAGAGGTTTAGATTTCAGCAGAACCTGTGAAGTGCCTCTGTCCTCTCTACTAAGGGCCAGGCAGCGGCAGGACAGCACGCCTGGGAGCTCAGAGAATTCAAGATAAAACGACTGCCTCCAAGCCCTCTCACAGGTTCCCTGCCAGACATGGAAAACAGAGAAGCAGGGTTCTTTTGTTGGGCTGAAACCAGGCTCGGTTGCTCTGGATCACAGCTACCCCGCCTTGGCGCTGGCTGTCTTCCACACAAGCAGCTGCGGTAACAATGGTAACGGGTAACCTGGCCTCCAAGAATGTTCAGGGAGAGGCGATAACGGAACACCAAAACCAACGCCTGGAAAGTCTGCCCGGCTGGCTGCTCCGTGAATGGGGCTCACTGCGGGGGCCCCTGCGGAAATCAAGGTGCACCAGCCTTCCAAAGATGGCTTTGTACAAGGCCTTGTTCAGTAAGGAAATGTTCAAAAAGGTGCCTTTTTTTCTTCAATGAAGAGGGATGATCAATGTTAGGCCTGCCTTAATTCACATTTTCATAAAAGAACATCAATAATGAAAGAGGCTTACTTGCTTTGCAGAGAACACATTCTAAACACCTGGCCTCTGTGCTTTCCAATTTTAAAGTTTCGCCACAGTGTTTATGAAGCCTCTTTAAGTAACAGACGGGTGGAATAAGGAGCTCTGATTGCTAACGGAGGCAACACCTATAAGCTGCCTCCCAGTGTCAAGCAGGATGGGCACTGGGCTGGGGCGAACACAGCTCCAGGTATTTATGAACTGTAATTATTTATTCATAAGTTATTTATGACTATGCCGGTCTGATTTTTACCGTAAAAAAGGCAATCCAAATTATTTTTGGATGAGGCCACCGCACAAATATGACTCCTTGAATGTACATAAATCTACTTGGAATTTTACTATCCTTCTGCAAACAAGCTGTCTTTTATAGATAATTCCTTACCCAAGGGTCCACGGCCCTGAGAGAATAACCCTACTGAGGAAAAGGGTTTGCAAAGAGCCTCCTTTACACTCAGGTGTGGGCCTTGACTTTCTAGATGAAGTTTAAAGAATCAAGAGGCCTTTGTCATCCACCAAAGCCAAGATCCACCTCTGCCAGAGAAGCTCCGTGGAGGCGCGCCCCCCTCACATGGCTCCCCAGACAAGACTCCTGCGGGCCGCCAACTGTCATTTTCTAGAACATTGGTTCCTACGGTGCTTTTCTGTGCACACCTGTGACTTTCTTTTCTGGTGTCTCATTGAGTGCCTGGGCCACTTCCTTGCACACTCCTCCGTGGTCCCAGGAAGGATTCGGCACTTCTAAATTGGAGACACATTTCTGATCCACACGGCAAGTGGATTGCGTGACTGCGGTCAACACTAGCTCCTGTTCTCATACCCATCATCCTGTCTGGCCCGAAGGAGAGGACAGCGTTTGCTTCCCCTTCCTTCCAAGTGAAATCCCTACGTCTGGACTCAATTTCCAAAGCCCTAGGGCCCTTCATTTAAAAAAGGATCAGTTATGAAAGTCATAATTGCATTTCCCTATTTGTGTGGTTAAGGACCTTTTCATTTGTTTCCTGGTCCTCTGGACTTCCTTTTCTGTAAATTTTTTATATCCCTTGCCCATTTTTTTCTTTTTGTCTATTGTGCTTTTTTTTTTTTTTTTAAACCAATTTGTAAGCATTCTTTGTATATTAGGGACTTAAGCCAATTTATGTTGCAACCATTTGTGTTGCAAACATTTCTTCTTAGTCTGTTTGCGTTATGACCGTGTTTATGATGCTGTCTACTGAACACAAACTTTGAATGTTTATGAAGCCAATGATTTCAGTCTTTACAAAAATTATTCCTGGATTTCTCCCAACTAGCTTTTAAAGATCTCACTCATAGCCAATTATACCTATATTCCTTAAATGTTATTGTTTCCGTTTTTTATACTTAAACCTGCTATCCACATAGACATTTTTGTAACCCAGTGTCGTGTTTTGTGCCCCTTTCAGGCGGGAATGCCAGCACCATTTACTAAAGCAAACGTCCTTTTACACTAAGCTGAAATTCTGTCTTTGTCATATATTATACAATAGCAGTTCCCAACCTTTTTGGCAGCAGGGACTGGTTTTGTGGAAGACAATTTTTCCATGGACTGCAGGGTTGATGAGGATGGTTTAGGGATGAAACTGTTACACCTCAGATCATCAGGCATTAGATCCTCATAAGGAGTGTGCAACCTAGATCCCTTGCATACACAGTTCACAACAGGGTTCGAGCTCCTGTGAGAATCTAATGCCGCTGATCTGCAGGAGGTGGGGCTGATGCTACTTGCCCAACGCTGGCCTCTGGCTGTGTGGGCTGGTTCCTAACAGGCCACAGACCAATACTGGTTCGCTGCCTGGGTGGGGGTTGGGGACTCCTGATATATTACATTTCTATATTTACTTAGGTCTATTTTTGAACTCTCTTATCTGTTCCACTGATATTCCTTTTTCAGTCACATATAAACACACTCGTTCGTGACAGATCTATATGTGTATCCTACTAAACACACATGCACATCAGTTCATCCAAGAACACAGCAGTGGCAGACTCCCTCGTTCACCTCCTGCAAATAAGTCCTCACCTCTGTTGCACTGCTTATCCCTACCTCACACTATTTGTACTTGCCAATATCCATCTATCAGACTGAAGAAGAAAGCTGTATTATGTTTAAGACGGCCTAGATGTTGGTACTGATTTTCTGGGCCAGTATCCTGAGGGATATTTCTATGAGTGGGGCTGGCTTTGGAAGTCTTAGCTTCGAGGTTAAGAAGCAGAGCTGGTTGTTTAATGAAAGAGACAGCTCCATACCTTCCCGTGTCTCACGGAAGACAACAGAACAAAAAGAGCTTGTTTCCCTAGACATACTCTGTGCTGAGCTGGCCTTGTATGACCAGGACAAAAACTAGGATAAGCTCTGTCTCTGAGGAGTTTTGGGGAAGACCACAAGCTCCTGTGCAGCTGCCTCAGCCTCACCTCAGCCTGTGGAGCCAAAAGTGGCCATGATCCGTGTGGGCTTTGTGAGGTGCCATTGTGTGGCAGTAGAGACTTGACAGCATTGGGGCTGCTGGCTCCAGGGCTGGAGTCCCACAGTCCTGGGATGAAACCTGGCTCTGCTACTGAGAAGCAGACACACGACCTGGGACAAATCAGTCAGTCCTATGCCGTGGATCGAACTGTGTCCCCCACTCCCCACTGAATTCATATGTTGAAACTCTAACACCCAATGTGATGCTATTTAGAGATGCGACATTTGAGCTGTAAACAGGTTTAGATGAGGTCATGAGGGTGGGGGCCTTATGATAGGATTAACGTTCTTATAAGAAGAAGGGCCGGGTGTGGTGGCTCACGCCTGTGATCCCACACTTTGGAAGGCTGAGGCAGGTGGATTAGTTAAGGTCAGGAGTTCAAGACCAGCCTGGCTAACACGGTGATACCCCATCTCTAGCAAAACTACAAACATTAGTCGGGCATGGTGGCAGGCACCTGTAGTCTCAGCTACTCAGGAGGCTGAGGCAGGAGAATCACTTGAACCTGGGAGGCGGAGGTTGCAGCAAGCTGAGATGGAGCCACTGCACTCCAGCCTGGGTGACAGAGCGAGACTCTGTCACAAAAAAGAAGAAGAAGAAGAGTAAGAGAGACCAGAGTCCTTCTCCCTCTCTCCACCATCTCAGGACAGAGAGAAAGAAGCCAGGAAGAAGGTCCCCGACCCTGAGACCTGACAGTGTGGCACTCTCCTCTTAGAGATCCAGCTTCAGAACTGTGAGAAGATAAGTCCCTGCTGTTGAAGCACTCGGCCGATGGTATTTTGGAATGGCTAAGGCACCCTGGGAGCGAGCCTCAGTCTCCTCACGAGCAAAATGGGGAACTGTGGCCCAAACCTCACATTGGGAGGATGAGCGACTTTCACATACATAACCTGTCTAGGGCAGTGCTTGGCGTGTAGACCACATGCACACATTAGCTGCTGGTATATCAGTGGCCTCCATGCAGGAGAGCAGGGCTTGAGGTTACTTGTGTGTCACACGTGGGACATAAGGAATGGGCGCAGCTCACGTGCAGGGTTTTCACTTGACCATGGGCATCTTTGGCACTGCAACAGGGCGTGGAAGGGGAAGGCCCAAGATAAGGGCAATCCTCACTTCGGTGGCGTAGGAACCAGGCTACCCCGCGGTCTCATCTGGGATCACCAGCATCTCCCAACCAACACACACCTGCCTCAGTCCCGGAGCGCTGGCGACCTCTGGTGGTGAAAAAGGCAATACGCTTTGTTTTCAGTCCATCTTCATTTCTGTGGGGAGGAAAAAGATAAAATTGGAGGATGTCACAAGAGAAACATTACGATTTTGGCTGTGATGTTATCACGCCAAGTCACGGAGATGGCGGAAATTCAGGTGCAACTCTTCAGGGCCTGGCAGGAGCGCAGGCTGCAGTGGCGGCTGCCTTTCGCACTGCCCCCCGCAGAGGTCCTCTTTGGGGTACAAGTTCCACCATAATAATACAGAAGTGGCCTTCTGCAAATGAACTGTGGTCGCTGGTCCCCAAAGGCTGGCTGGGCTCATCCTGGCTTTCCACCTGTCGGAAGGCTTTGGGGCTGGGCGGTTTTATTCAATTCCGTATCCATTTCAGTTAGTGATCAGCAGAGACTTTTGAAGAGTTACAGTTTGGGCTGAAGTAAGAGACAAGATTCTCCAGAAGGTTAAAAATTCAGCGTGATGGGCTGAATTCTGTCCCCCCAAATTCTTATGTCAAAGCCCTAACCTCCGATTTCTCAGAATGTGACTGTATGTGGAGACAGGGCTGTTCAAGGGGTAACTGAGTTAGAATGAGGTCATTAGGATGGACTCTAATCCAATCTGACTGGTGTCCTTGTAAGACGAGGAGATTAGGACACAGACACGCACAGAGGGCCGGCCGGCTAGGACACAGGGGGAAGACAGCGTCTGCAAGCTAAGGAGAGGGGCCTCAGGAGAAATCAAGCAGCCCTGTGGGTGCTGCCACCCCGGATTTCAGCCCCCAGGACTGTGAGGCAGTGATTTCTGCTGTTGAGCCCCGGGCCGGTGGTTCAGCAGCCCTGGCATGCCACCATCCCAAGGACCGGCTCAGCCGCTGCCCCACACATGCTTTGGAAGTGGCCGGGGAGGAGAGGCCCCTGCTTACTTGCCAAGTTGGTTTCTGGAGAGATCCAGGGTTTTGAGCTGCCTGCAGGTCCACTTCTCTGGAGGTGGAAGTGCCGCCAGCTGGTTTCCCTGTAACCTCAAGAACATCAGGGCCTGAGAGAGACAGGGAGGGAGAGAGAAGCAAAGATGGCGTCAGACACAGCAGGCAGGAGAGACTGAAGAGCCAGTTTCCCGACCAAGCGCAGTCAAACAGTTCCAACCAATTCACCTTCACACAGCTCCCAATAGTGTGGGGCTCAGCAGTCTCTTCAAACTCAAGAAATGACCTCACACAGAGCGACGGGGCTATCTACAGGAGCGCTGCCCTCAAAGTCAGTGAAAGGCAATTGTTCTAGAGGGAAAGCAGCCCAGGTAGTTGTTAGCATGAAGGATTCCATTCTTAAGAGTGCTGACTGGCCGGGCGCGGTGGCTCAGGCCTGTAATCCCAGCACTTTGGGAGGCCGAGGCGGGCAGATCATCTGAGGTCAGGAGGTTGAGGCCAACCTGGCTAACATGGTGAAACCCCATCTCTACTAAAAGAATACAAAAATTAGCCAGGAGTGATGTGGACACCTGTCATGCCAGCTACTCAGGAGGCTGAGGCAGGAGAATTGCTTGAACCAGAGAGGCGGAGTTTGCAGTGAGCCAAGATCTCGCCATTGCATTCCAGCCTGTGCAACAGAACGAGACTGTCTTTAAAAAAAAAAAAAAAAAAAAATGCTGATTATTGGAGGCCTCTCTGGGGAAAGTGCCAGACTCTGAGGGTTCGCGGGACACGGGGTCATCACCGGTGGGGGTGGCGTGGGGTGTGTTCGGCACAGTGCTGGTGTCCACTGCCTCTTGGTGGGTGGCCTCCTGGGCCGGCCCAGGTCTGGGGACGGGGGTGGCAGTGCCACCAAGGGTAATTGCCCTAACTGCGTGTCCTCCTCTAGCTGTTACAGAGTCCCGAGCTGGGTCCCCCAGGACTACCAGCGTGTCTGGAGTGCCCCTCGTGGGTGCCCCTCCCTCAGCCCCACTGCAAACAGACCCTGCAGGGAACACAGTCACTAACGGGGTGAGGTGCTACCTTGGACCTGTAACATGTTTCATTCGTTTTTGGTTATTATCTCTTTCTATTTACTTTTTTAGAGATAGGGTCTCTCTCTGTCGCTTAGGCTGGAGCACAGTGGCCTGATCACAGCTTGCCACAGCCTCAAACTCCTGACCTCGAGTTGGCCTCCCATTTTGGCCTCCCAAAGTGCTGGGAGTACAGGTCTGAGTCACCATGTCTGAGCCTTCATGCCTGGCCCATGTTTTCCTTTACAGGAGTGCCACAGACATGCTATCACCCTGTTTGAGGACATCGCCACAGCCACCAACTATCCCGCCCACAACCAGGGTGGCCTCAGGAGGGCCACAGTCTGTTTGTGGCCCCACATTAAATTCTCCATTCCTGGTGCTTCTGTCTCTTGCCCTGTTGAAAATGCTCACGCCACCACCTGCCATCAAAGCCACTGCAGCCAGGCCCCATCTGCTGAAATTCTATGGAGTTCCTGCCATGTGCCAGGCTGCAGGGCCCCCCAAGCCCCCACATACCCACCCGACCCTTCCCAGTGTGGAGGAGGAGACCCTGAGCAGACACCCATTCTGCAGGCTCCGCCTCTCCTAATTGGCTGCTTCTGAGCTTTGGGGGAAGCCAAAAAACTAAGCCTGCGAGTTGTTGGTGTGAAATATGAGAAGACAGGCTCAGAGCAGGGCCCTGATGGCTGTGGGCAAGGCCTGAAGGCCAGGAGGGCCCTGTGAGGGGTATGATGTGGGACCCCTGAGGGTGGCCCCATGTGGCTCTTTTCCTCTGAGCAGTGTAGGTCCTGTCCCTGGGTCCCTGGCTTTGCCCTGTGCTTGTCAGGAGCCTAGGACATGACAGCCCCTCCTCTGTGAGGATACACACACTGAAGGGGCTTTCGCTACCTTGCGGGGGCCGCTGCACACAAGAGGTCGCACCAGGCCTTGGAGGAGAGCTCATGGGGACCCGGGCAGTGGCCTGGCAGGACCGGGGGCTGACGCCGGTGCGGGGTGGCCTGGGCACTGTGCCTGGGGGTCCACCACGGGGCCTCTGGAGGGACTGCCCTGATGCCTTTAGCAGGCACTGATGGGGCCCCTTCTGGGGTTGGCCCAGAGCTCTAAGCAATGAGTGTGATCCACAGCCTTCCTGCCTAAGGACCCGCCCCTAAAACAACCTAAAGTGAGAAGGCACCTCTGTGCTGGGGTGGGCACACAGGGCTCCAGGGAGAGGCCTTCCTGGAGCTCACAGTGTCCACTCAGCTTCATAGACGGGCAGGCCGTGGGCCTAAAGAAAGTCCCGAGGGATACAAACCATCGCCCACCACCCAACATAGCTGCGTCTGCTTTCCACGGGCCGCCCTCACCACCATTCTCGGCCATGCGTATTTTTGACAGCTGAACTTTTTCTTCACCTTTTCCTCTTATATCTGTCTCAGAAGCTCAGGAAAAGCACATGGATTTCGCTGCAACGTGGAGCAATTTTCTCTCAAAAGCTGAAAATGAGGAAGGAAGGAAGGGCTATTAGGCTTACATCAAGCTGGAAAAGTCCCAGGGGAACTTCTTTCAGTGCATTTTCTGAAAAATCCACGTCCTTCAGGTGATTTTTCCAAAAGAGAGCCATTTTGTCTGGCAGACATTCCAGGGCATTTCTGGAAGCTTTACAACATTTCTAAGAGATTGACAAGAAAAAATATGTATATTAGTTAGCTCTTTAAATGCAGTGGTACCTATGAGACTGTTTCCAAGTTGCATGTTAAGAATAGACCATTACAACGACGTTGTGTGATGGAGGAGACTGAGCGTTGTTGGGAGGCCACACGCCCTCACGGTCCCCGTCCTCCCGCCCCTGCTCCAAGGGAGGGACAGGAATGGGGTTTTCTGGGGGAGCTCATGGTCTTTTTCCTTCATTCCAGAACTTCCGGCCCATTGTCCTTGGAAATAACAGAACAATTCAGGGCTGTGCTGGAGTGAGAAGCTGGTTTCCCACACACAAATGGTCAAACCAGGAACGCTAATGCCAGTGATGGAAAGTTTCCTGGTTTAAAACCAACAACCAGAACATGCACGCACGCGCACGCACACACACACACACATTCTTTATGCTGTTCCATCTGTTTGAACCAGCAAAATTTCCCAGAAGCAAAAACCCCATTTAATCAGCAGTGCTGTGAGTGCCCACTGACGATTTCTCACTCTCAGGTGATAGTTGCTCTAAAAGAACTGAACTCTCTTTTTTCAGGCACAATGTGTCCTGTGCCAGGGTGCGAGCTGTCCCTAGGTAAAGTTCTGTGGGTGTTGCGGGGTGGCTCTTGAACCCAGAGCCAGGCAGGCTGGCTTTCAGGTGAGTCACCTGCCTGGGGCACTCAGCCTCGCTGTATACTCAGTGACAATGCTGCAATGTGGGAACAGGTCCCACTAACCAGCTTGGCGGCCGAGGGGCTGAGCTGACCTGATGCGCCCGAAGGCTTTCTGAGGCTAGCTGAGATGCAGAGTTGACTGTGGCTTTCATGACTTTTGATACCATACTTACCAAAGGGCAGGCCCAGGGATCTGGAAACACCTTTAGGTTGTTTCTGGAGACATTCAGAGAATGGAGCGACTTGAAAGAGTGAAGAAACGGGGCGGGGAGTTCTGTCAATTTATTGTCAGACAGATCAAGTTCCTGTAGCTTCCGTAAACCGATCCAGTTAGTAGCTTAAAAAAAAAGAGACAAAGTGTGAATTGCTAAAAATATCCCTACCAAGAAGCAAATGACTAATTCATTCAGGTCACTGATGAGAAAACATACCATTTTCCTCTTCGAACAGTTTTTCTAAACAATTTTTTGAAGCTGACAGTTTCTGAAGTTTTGAGAGATGCAAGAATCCAGGCGGGAGGTGGGACAATTTGTTGCTGGAAATGTCAATTTCAAGTAGCCTGGGGTGGAGAATGCGGCAGGCAGGCGGCAGGGGGAGGAGGGAAAACACAGAATGGACATATTTTACAACAGGGAGGTGTATTTTTTTCTCTCATTCTCCCTGTGCAAAGTTAAAGAGTGTGCACTGAAAATGTTGTGCATATGATTTTTAATTCATTTGAAGAACTCTTACTGCGTCCTGTGTAGATAAAGACAAATCTCTCATTGGTGGGCCCCGGACTGACGAACAGGGATTCAAATCCTTCGTACACATGTAATAGCAAAATGGGTGGCTGCCCTGAAAGCTGCCAAGGCACCACAGAGCAGGGCTTTGAACCTTCTGGAACTGTCCGTCTGGCCCAGGGGAAGGGCCCCACTTGGATGGCACTTGTATTTAAGTTCTGGCGTGCAGCCTTCTTTCCTGTTCTCACTTGGGCATCCCGTGGGTTACTGTCTACCCCAAGCTCTTTCCAACATTCTTGGTTTTGGTTTTTTTGGAGATGGAGTCTTGCTCTTGTCGCCCAGCCTGGAGTGCAGTGGGACGATCTCGGCTCACTGCAACCTCCACCTCCAGAGTTCAAGTGATTCTCCTGCCTCAGCCTCCCAAGTAGCTGGGATTACAGGTGCCCACCAGCATGCCCGGCTAATTTTTGTATTTTTTAGTACAGACGGGGTTTCACCATGTTGCCTAGGCTGGTCTCGAGCTCCCAACTTTGGGTAATCCACCTGCCTCGGCCTCCCAAAGTGCTGGGATTACAGGCATGAGCCACCGTGCCGTGCCTGCTCACTCTTGGCTCTTAATTCACTTAAAGCCTTCATTTAAAAATCAACTCAACCCTTTTATGGAATGAGGACTTGCAGATACGTATCCTAAAGAAATCAAATAAGGTTCTTGCCCTTCCCATGCAAGCTCAGGGGTAAAGCTCAAGCCTTCTCCTAAGGCCTCCAGAAGAAGCAGGCCTGGGCTGCTCACAAGGTCCACCTGCTGCCAGAGTCCTGCAGAGTTAACCCGTTCTCTGAGGCCCTTCCCACTTTCCCTGGAGGTGGAGTAAAAAGTGGTGCCCCAGAGCCCCATTGCATCCACCAGCCTGGGAAGGTTTGGCTGCCCTCATCTGATTCCCGGGCAGGACCGAGGCGAGCATCTCAGGCAAGGATTCTGCACGGCTGCAGGTGAGCTGTGTAAACTTGAGCCAGACAAACGATCTCTCTAGACCTCTCTGTTTTCACCTGAAAAGGAGGCTGGCTTAAGGGCAGGCAAAACTCCTTCTATTTTAGCCAGAACATTTTGTGCCCCCCCACCGCCCCCAACACAAAATACAACGCGGGAGCACCACGGTGACAGCGGGGTCACACACAACTCTGTGCACACCCCAGGGAGCCACCTGGAACAGATGATTTCATCCGATGACTGCACGCCAGGGAGCTCCCCCAGGTGGTTGTCCGAGAGGTTCAGCTTCCGGAGGTTGATGAGGCCCCAGGGGATGACGGATGGGAGGGTCGCCAGGCAGTTGGCAGAAAGGTCGAGCTCCGTGATCTGGCAGGAGATGTCTATGAGCCAGTCTAGATCTACCCAGGGCAATCTGAGATGGGACCATTTCACGCGGAGCGCCTGGTAGTGGAGAGAAGGGAAAAGCACACTTGGAGGGTGGGCTCAGGGCTCACATGGGCTAAGCAAGGGTTAATTCGAGTGCACCTCTGTGTGCCTGCTCCAGCTGGGGTCCCAAGAGGCCTGCACATGTCCCTCTCCCCCTCTCCCCCCCACAGAGCCTGCCATGATGGCAGGCACAGAGGAGCTAGCTACCTGTTCCCATCTGCACTTACAAACTCACAGGCAATCTGAGCTCCTGCAAGTGACCCTCCAGCCTCCAGAGGGAGCTGTGGGTGTGTGCTCAGTGCCACCCACTGAGGTGGCTCACAGGGAGGGAGGAAGCGCAGCAGAAATTGCCTGGGTACACAGGAGGCCACTGAAGCTTAGAGACGCCTTCCCCAGACTGGAGAAGAAAGCCGAACCCCCAAACCCGAGTCTCTGCCCTCCCTTCAAGCCCGCCTTCCCTGTGATTAGAGGAGCTGCAGCCTGCAGCGGTCTGCACCGTGACAGGGTGCTGGTGGACAGGCTGCTTCCAGAGTGAGCTTGATATACAAACAGATGATGGCCACACAATATATAAAAATAGAACTCTGACCCACAACCTACAGTGACCTGCCTGGGAAACCAACCTCTTTATCTATAGTAAATAGCCCAGCTTCTTCTTTTTTTCTTTTTTCTTTTTTTTGTGCAGTGGCACGACCTTGACTCACTTCAACCTCCACTTCCCGGGTTCGAGGGATTCTCCTGCCTCAGCCTCCCAAGTAGCTGGGGCTGTACGCATATGCCACCACGCCAGCTAATTTTTTTATTTTTAGTAGAGACAGTGTTTCACCATGCTGGCCAGGATGGTCTGGAACTCCTGACCTCGGGCAATCCACCTGCCTCGTCCTCCCAAAGTGCTGCAATTATAGGCATGAACCACTTCTTATTTCTAGTAACAACCCGGAAAGCTAAACCATCATTTCCATACAAGTCAGTCTAAAATGGCCAGGACTCGGTTAATAACTGACAGCTTCTCTAAGTTTTGTCCTCACTTTCCATTTATCACCAACCAGAGAAAGCCAACTCTGCACACCTACCAATCCCATAGGATGCCCAGCCTGCAGTGAGCCCCCCACTCCAGCTTCCCCATGCCAACAGCCTCCAGATGGGACACACCCAAAGTCTTTCCTTTGTCCCACTAGAAAGCTCCCACTCCTCTGCCAGCCTGTGGGTCTCTGCCACATGCAAGTGATGGTGGCCGATGCCCTTGCTGTTGCAGTCCTGCGAAATAAATTGCCTTTGCTCTTCTCATTTCTCATTGGTCTTTCCTTATTTCCACAAGAGGGGGTCAGAAGGGCCAGTGGTTTTCTGGCATGGGGTGGTCAAAGGAACCTGGTGAAATATATCAGAGCAAGACTTTTTCTTCTTGATTATCGAAGAATATTGGTTTCTGGGGAGAGGAAATCTACTTTTGGGCCTGTTTCTTCGAAGCAACTGGAAATACGTATTGGAAAATTAGAGGAGCAGAAATAAAAACAAAAACGAATGCTTTGCAAATGGGAAAATGTAACAACCAGGCAGAGGCTGCGGGAAAGCTCCAAATAATGTGGGATGAGATCGGCTCAAAAGCTGGTGGCACTTGACAGGCATCCTTATGTGGCCACTAGATGGCGATGAGCGCCTGCCTTTATGGTCTCCTTTGCCAACTCCAGGAGTTTGGAAAGACTGCGTCTACACCCTCTCAAAGCTCTGATCTTTGAATCAGGGGAATGAGGGATTCTGTCGCTCTGTGTCTGTGTCTCTCTGTCTGTCCGTCTGTCTGTTCACATGGACAAAAGGGGACGGGCAGTACTGGATCTAAGATCAGGAGAGTAACTTCTGAGCTGATTTTTTTAGACAAGTCACTCCATTGCCCCGAGCCGGTTTCACTGTTACTGCTTTACTCCCTACATTTTTTAATTTTGAACATTTTTTTAAGCTTCAGAAAAGCTGCAGTGGGACACAGTGAACACCTACACACTCTCCACCCCGACTCACTGACTGTTCAACATTGGCTTTTGCTCCTCCCTCTCCGCACAAACATGCACACTTTTCATTTTTGATGAATCATTTGCCAGTAAATTATACGTCACAATGCTTCACCCGTAAATAGTTTAGCACATATCCCTGAAGAACAACAAATGTTTATACAGGGTAGTCATGTAATTATCCTTTTCGATAAGTGTAACATCAATACGATATTACTGAATTCACAGCCCATGTTCAAATACTCTCAATTATCCCAGAAATGTGGTTCATAACTATTTTGTGTCCTGATCTGGAACCCCATCACGACTGCATTACGTCGCAATCCCACACTGCATTGCCTTGTCATGTCCCTTGACTTTTCTTTCATCTAGAAGAGTCTTCACACCTTTTTTTTTTTTTTTGGACATTGTCGTTACATTAAGTCCTGGAACTTAATGCAATGACAATGCCTCTTCATCGGGGGCAGACACTGGTGCGTTTCACTGCCTGTCTTATAGAATATCCCACAATCTGAATTTACTCAGTTTTTTTCCTGAAGTTTAGATTCAAGTTAGCTATTTTGGCAACAGCCTTAGAGTCCATGCATGGGGTTCCCACTGAATCCCACCCAGGGTCCCTGACGTCAGGTTATCCTGCTACAGGTGATGTCCTGCTCGGTCTCTTGGTTAAGGTGTTGTGTGTCAGATCCCACCTTTGTAAAGGTTAACATTACACCCTTTGTGATTAGTAAATAATCTGTGGGGTCATATTCTGAGACTATCTGACTATTCTGTGTTTCTACATCGTTTTGCCCAGTGGGTTTAGCATCCGTTGCTGATCCTGGCCTGAATCAAGTAGTGCAATGGTGGTTGCAAAGTCAAAGTTTTGGAAAACGGCCTCTCTTTCTACGTGTTAATTACCTGGCATTCTTCTGTACAGAAAAGCATTGTCTCCTCACCTCTTTAAGTATCACTAGGGACTCATGGATTCTTTCTTATTCCACGTATCATCTTTTTTTGATGCCCAAGTCATCCCCAGTTTGTCCAGGGGGAGCCCTATTCTGGGTGGGAGGGTGCCCCCTCTGTTCCTGTGACATATCACTATCAGTTCTGAGGTACTTCCTTACTTCCTGGCAAAACAAGATCTTCCAGTCTCCTCTTGTACTTTCTAAGCCCAGGCCTTGCTTCCCTTTAGCAAAAAATTGGTATTCAGAAACCAAGATCTGGATGTGGTGTGCTCATCACTGCTGGGGCGTCACTGCTTCTCAGCCCATTAATGGACACAGCTCTATATTTAACACGAGTACAATCTGATGCCTCCAGCTCAATGCAGCAAAGTGGGGTTTTTCCCTAATCTTTCCGTAATCCATAATTCACCATTGTATCGCTCTTCACTCTGTTATTGTTGGTTTTAATCTGTTAATTAAATGGCTTGGATTAGCTGATGCCTAGGGTCAATTCTCGTCCCAATATTTTTTCTGGTGGTCATCCTGCAAAGTGCATGAGGAGTCTCCGGATAAGCATGACAGTCAACCCAGCAACAGGCTCACAGGTAGGACACCATGTGGACTTTGCAATGCCAAGTCAAAAAAGGATCCAAATGCTCCTATCTGCCTCTCCTTCCTGAATTCACAGAGACACACTTAGGTCTCAGGGGCAAGGGCCAGAAAGCTGAACATGGAACCAAGAGGTCCAGACTGCAATCCAACCCCCTCCACTCACTCTACATGGGCATTATGGTCATTCAACATTGAATGGTTTGGACCCAAACTGAAATGGCAGCCAAACGCAAGATGCAGAGGAGGCTGGTTATGGTTTTGGCTTTGACAACAAATCTTAGGTGTCCATTGAAAAGCCTTTAAATAAAACTTTGAGGACCATCATAAAATACACAAAACAGCAGCAAAGAATCAACTTATTACTGTGACATGAGCCAATTATGGCACAAATCCCTTGGGGAAGGGCATAGGTGTGGCTGTTCCTGCAATGGCAGCCTTCCTCCTAACAGCTCCTCCATGTCCCCTGAGCTGGAGCTGGAACTGGAGCCCTGAACTGCAGAAGGAGCAGGGGCTTGGCCTCAGGCTGCTTAACTGACTCCATGTGGATTTTGGGCAAGTCACAGTGGACGCGGGCACTTTCCTGGGCTCTGTCCAGCTCGAGATCCTTTGTATTAACCTCTCCACTGATCTGGGCAGCACTGACGCAGCCACATTTCCTGTGCTGTGGCAGACAGCATGGCCAACCAGAACCCGAACTGCACACCCACAGTGCAGAGCCCTGCCTGGCTGCCTCCGCAGCTCAACCTCAGGCCCACTATGCAGCAGACACTAAATCAGTGTTTGCAGGCTTGAGCAAGACCTGCAAGCCATCTACTCTGCACTTGTAACCAGATCAATCATCCAGAAACATCAAGGTCTCCTCAAGACCTTTCAGCTTTCCCCGGCCCACTCAGCCTTTAGCAGAACATCCAAAGTCCTTCCTCTGCAGCCTCACAGGCCCCTAGTCAGCCCCAACCCACTTTTCCAACTATATGTCTCCCTGCCTCTTTCATAGCTTCTCCCTGCCCACCCAGAGCAGTCTCTGATCTACAGTGATGCCTTTTGCCTTCCTGCTGGTGGTCATTTGTGGGGTTAATTTATTCTAGGTGAAAGAAATTAGGGGGTGGGGCACACTCGCAAAACAGGGTATCCAAGGCCAAGGAAAAGCTGCCAATCAAAGTGTAGAAACTCCTTGTTCATAAATAAACTGCAGGGCTCACAAAGTGGGCCCAACATTGACATTTGTAGGAAGGCTTTGGGGGCCACAAGGGTGTAGCCTTGCTGTTGGTAACTGACTGGCTCATGTGCTCAAGGGGCTGCCGGGGTGCTCTGGGCTGCAGATCTCCCCTGTACCCCTACTGGAATGTGGGTTATCATGGTGACCAAAGGGGCCAAGATGGGAGGACACCATGGGAAGCACAAGGCAGGCTAGGCCTGGAGCTAAGACAATGATACCGTTTGGCTGTGTCCCCACCCAAATCTCATCTTGAATGAG